CCACTGAAAACATCAAATGAAGCTACACTCACCAAAATCAACCCAAATGAAGCCAATAAAATCAGACTTGAAGTAACCAACATCCTCTGCTCCAGCAACCCACCCAGGAGCAACTTACAGAAAGAAGAACAAAAAGCACTCACCAACTTGAGGAAAGACAACAACATAATCATTCTCCGAGCAGACAAAGGCAGCACTACAGTGGTGATGAACATGTCTGACTACAAAGCCAAACTATCCAACCTACTCCAAGACCTTGCTTACAAACCTCTAAACACAGANAAATATCCAAATGTCAGGGTTCCAAGTAACACCCACAACAAAAGAAGACCCTGAGAGTTGAAGTTCCTCAAAGTTCCATTTTATTAGAGATGTCATATTGGCACATCTGGGAAAACCTGAATCTGAAAGTTTCCAGGTTTTCCCCACCAAAATGAAAGCCCCTGCCCATCACCCACATGTCCATCACATGGTCCAATCAAATACCGTCCCAACTGGAGATGCCTCCCAGTCATGCCACTCCAGGTGCAGGGCAGGATCACATTGAATCTCTGAGAAAGGAATGCTATTTTGACTATATAGGTCCCATATTCCATACAATCCCCCTCCCATTTTCTACAGCATTAAATGTGTCAGGGCTGAAGGTCCAATGCAAAAGATGGCTTCCAGGTCTGACGCATCCCATATGTCTCCAAAACAGCATGTTTGTTTCAGAGATAATACTATGCAAATGATAATCATTCACACGGTTATGTTAATAACATACATTTGTCCACGTAACATAAAATTCATCATTTGCATAATAACACAATTAAGTGAATGATGTAAATCATTGCAATGATGTAAATCACTGCAATGATTTATCTTTGAATTTAACAGATAGCCAGGTCTGATAGGAAGCCATCTCCACAAACAGTCTTTTAAAATGAGATTTCATTCTATATTTATAATGCAAAAAATAATATTGTAATTATATTTCACCATCTAATTTTGATGCTACAATAATACCAGTTTATTAATAAATGTGTTTGAAAACTTGCATTTTTCTGCAATATATTAACTTCAGAGTCATGATATATTATTTTAATGGAACATGTCCAAGATATGGTACCTCTTCTATAGTAAAAGAAAACAATGTGTGGTGCATTATGTGTCCTGTAGTTTTTTATGTAAGCTAACAAAAATTCTGGTCAGGTAGGGGTTAATCCCAGATTGTTCAATCTAAATAAGAAAAGTCCTTTTCGAGAAAAGCGGGGCTGACGTCGCTATAACACAACATGCAATCTTGGAGCTCCAGGATTGCTGTCGATATCTCTGTTGCTGGACGGTCCTTTTTGGACCTAAGCTATACCGAAGAGATGGTGATAGAGTAGGGCATGTCCTGCTGATCTCAGGGGCATTGCAAAGCCCCTGATCGATCCAGGATAAGCTCTTTCCTCCGGCTACAAGAGAAGCAGCCATTGAAACTGCACAAAGTTGGGACAGACCCCTGAAACAGAAGCAGAGCAGGAGAGAGAGTGTGTCAAAATTGGTGAGAGTTGCCCTTGCGCGGCCCCATGGGAGTCTGACAACCAATCAAAATACAAGCTCAAATTCAAAAGCCCAGAGAGGGTTTAAAATTCAGGCACTCTCAGCATTTCTTCCCTTTTTTTCATCCAAGATCTTGAAGCATGTGATCCTGTCCACCATTAAAACCTTCTTTCCAAGAAACTTCCATGAATCCATGGAAGACAGTTCCCCACTTGGAACTGAACCCAGATGGACATTTCTTCCAACGCTTGAAAAAAAAACCACCCAAGAACTTTAATACAGTATGAATAAAGCATTTAATCAGTTGACTGCCCTGTGAATTGTCAAAGCAGCTACAAGTGCCTTAAAACCATATCAGAAGTAGATTGAAATAGATGTTCAACAGTGAAACAACATAATGGAGAGTAAGAAAAAACTCACACTGGTGAAACAACAATGAAGTTATATGGGAGACAGTGGTGGGTTCCGAATCCTGTTGCAACCAGTATGGTGCAATGGGGCCTGGCATCCACCACATGGACGCGCGTATGCATACTTACTGCCCGCGATGCTCTGCGATGCTCCAGCTGCTTGGTGGAGCGTCACACAGGTGCCGTACGCTCCGTGCGTGTGTGCCGAAGTCCTGAAAACCTCAAATACCTGTAAGGAGCATGGGTGGGTGGGTGGGGCCTCCAGAGCACCGTACCGGAACGGTACCTGGTGTTCCTGGCAGGCACTGGTATGCCCATACTGGGGCGTACCGGTTGTAACCCACCACTGGTTGAAGATCACAAACAAGGGCTCAGTCTACTCAATCTGCTGGTCTGCTGGAAAGGACAAAGCACCACTGTTTTCCAAAGGCATAATGGTGTCAGGACTTTGCAGATGTGTGGGGAATGCTGTGCTAGAAGATAGAATCTCTTGGATACTACAATGGCATTACTTTACCAATGGGAAGTGTGTTGTTCTATCTCTGACAAATATAAAAGAACCAGCAGTCCAATAGGAATCTAAGCCTCATTCTAGGCAATTATGTCACAATTGAATATCATTTTTTTCATAATCCCTCACTAACTTAAGGGCTGATGTAGTTTCCATTTTAAAAAAAGGGGGAAATGGATTCAGGAAACTACAGATCTATGTATATATCAGGTATTTTGTCTCCTTGGAGCAAAAATCAATCACATGGCTTATAAACAACTTATTAAAACAATCAAGCCCACACATTACTGTTTCTTTCTTCTCCTTCATGTGAGGATGAACAACACACAATGAACCTGCAATATCAAGATATTATGAGTATCTAGGCAAGAAAGTTAAGGAATTGGAAGTACAAATGTTTTCATCATTACTTCCAACAAAAGATCGACGTTCAATGGGAGAACAAGGAATTCTAGAAGTGATCCACTGGCTTAAGGGTTGGTGCTGCCAAGAGAACTATAAATTCCTAGACCATGGTCTGCATCAGCAGTGGGTTTCATATTTTTTTTTAAATTATTTATTTATTTATTTATTTATTTATTTATTTATTTATTTATTTNTATATATATATATATATATATATATATATATATATATATATACACACACACACACATACATACATACATACACACACACACACACACATATATCTGTGTGTGTGTGTGTGTGTTTGTGTGTGTGTTGTATTTGTGCTGATAAATAAATAAAGGGAGACTAGTATGGATCTATTTTAAGCTATTTAGCTCTCATCAGCTAGCCATACCCTTACTGGGATTAGAACCTGTGCTGTATTATCTTAGGCAGATGTGTTAACCACTAAGCCACAAGGTTCTTCTCCTTATCAGCTGATACACACACACACACACACACACACACACACACAGTCGATAAAATTAGTTTAATATGCCACTGTGTTTACTTCGTCAAGCAAATAACACATTTCTCTATCTAAGATGGTAAATTATTTGTTTAATATAACTCTGGGTACCATATTAAAAAAAAAAAATCTGATTTCTTTACTTTGGCTAATTGCAGCGGCTTCACAATGTGTTCCTTTTATAATGTTCCAGGTAATTCCAGGCAGATCTCTGGAAATATCCCCAACGTCTATATTTATACAATGTCTACTTTTCAAAAGTTTCTGCCACAACCTAGTCCTTGATCTTTTCTTTCCCACTCCCTTGATCTAAGATTTGCCCAGCAACAATCACAATCAATTGTGCTTCCTAATTTTATGAGTTGGAAGGGACCTTGGAGGTCTTCTAGTCTAATCCCCTGCTCAAGCAGGAGACTCTATATAATTCCAGAGAAGTGACTGTCTAGTCTCTTCTTAAAATCCTCCAATGATGGAGTGACCACAACCTCTGAAGGAAAAGCAATCCCACTGGTTAATTGTTAGGATCGCTATTAGGAAATTATCTCCTAAGTTCTAGGTTGCTTCTCTCCTTGATTAGTTTCCATCCATTGTCCCTTGTTTTGCCTTCTGGTGCTTCGAAAAATAAGCTGACCTCTTTTTCTTTGTGGCAGCCCCTCAAATATTGGGACACTGCTATCATGTCACATCTAGTCCTTCTTTTCACTAGATTAGACATGCCCAATTTCCTGCAACCGTTCTTCATATGTTTTAGCCTCCACCCCCTAACAATTATTGATATCAACAGCAATTCTGTAAAAGAAGTTCCCCATTCTTATAGTAAAACTAAACTAGTAACTACTCATGGTCTGATTTAGAGGCGGGGGAGGGTATCCCAAGTCTTCTCCTTTAATGAATCCAGTTTTTGATTTCTATTATTTTTTTTCTGATGGTGATTATTTGGTTTCTCCTTTCCTCTTGTAATCTGTTCACTCAGAGTCAACTTTCCAAAGTTGCTTTGTTCTCATAACTTCGCCCACACATTGGAATTAAGGGAAAAGGGGAGGTTTTTACTGTTACAACAACTGGTTTTCCCTTGTCTCAAAAGGAAATTTCTGGCAGAATTCTGAGCTTGGTGCTTTGCTTTTTACTATATCGAAACTATTCTTTATCGGTGTTCAGTATTCTATATACATCTGTAGGTGAAGGAAAACATATGTTCTTTTTTTTAAAAAAAACTAACAACTTTTTATTCTTTTGTGACATTTGTCAACAACAAGCTGACTGGGATGAAAATAGCATTTGCAGAAAGAAATACTGTCAGTGATGCTTTGATACATATCAACAGAAGACTGAGCTGTGTAAGGGGGAAAAATCATATACACATATACACACGCACACACAAACTGATTACAAGAAATAGTTTATAGCATACTTTTTTCTGACAAAGATATGATACAAAATTATTGTATTTCTGGGAGAAAAGAACCAAACAAAAAGAAATTTAGGGAAAAAAATAAGTTTGAAGAACACAAAGTGTTTGGTGAGAATTAAAAAAAAAGGTTGTGTTAGCATTGCTAGAAAGAACATCTATACAAAACTGGATTCTGATTTATTGACAGACATTTTTCCACTTTCATATCGTATTTCCAAATTATTGTTAGATGAAATCTTTTATTTTTCCTGTTCCTAAAACAAAACTAGAGAGTTCAATGCATGTGCATAATTGACTTACTTGTCCAGCTCTTGCATTTTCACACACAAAAGTGTCATAAAATACAGCAAATTGTGGTGCATTGTCGTTCACATCCAATATGCGTACATACACTGAAACACGGGTTGTCTCTTTGGGATTGTCTGTCAAAGCAGGGGAAATAGGCAACATTGTTTAAAAATGGATTTGTAGTCCTTAACCAGGATGTCCATAAATATACTACATTTTACTTTAAAGATTTCTTTAAAGGATAAACACATTTTCAGTCTGAAGACATTTCTGACAATCTCTTTGCAACCAGTTTGTGCTCTGTTATGGACAGAAGACACAAAACTTACTGCTTATTTTCTATGCCCTTTCAAAGAAAAAAACAAACAAATATAAAGTAGTGGTGGATAATAGTTTAGTGACCAGAATTTACCTTTTTTCAACCCTGAAGGCCAAAGTGGCATCAATCTTAAATAAATGGATAGGGCCAACATTTTAAATCTACTATTTTCAAGTTTCTGGCAGTTTAAAACAGAGCAAGAAGCATCTTAGCGCCCACCTTCCACCCTCTATTTTGGGTGAAACGAAGAAACCCAACAAATTAGAAGGAAACAGTTTCTTTTGAGACTTGGAAAGATGGGAAGAAGCTTAAAGGACAATTTGCTTCTTCCAGTTTCAATGAAAAATATATTTGATATTACAGATTTCTTAGAATGACATTATTATAAGTTATTCCAGGACACATCTGATTAGGATATTATTTTTAATTAGCTCCAAAAAAGTAAAGGGCAATTGGATAAGAACCCAACTATATTCTTGTTAAATTTCCCTTTCCAGCCTATCCAAACTTTCTACTTTCCAAATTCCTCTCTACATCACCAAGCAGCACAACCTTTGATATCACATATTAAGATAGCCGTAAATAGGGAAAATTGCTAATGATTTCACACCCTACAAAATAGCTATTTTTAAAATAATTTATTTATTTATTTATTTATTTCCAAAACAAACATATATTGTAAAAAGTTTCAAAAAGCTTTTGTGCATTTCTTCCACCGTCATCAAATATAATTCATGTTAATTCAAATATCTTAACTCAAATATTTACTATATTAACATCATCATACCTCCACTTTTATTTGACTACAGTTATTTAAACATCCTTCATCCTTAAATATACCAAGATTCAATCCATAACCACATGCTGGCATTTCATTTACTTATTTATAAAATCCTCCATTAACATTAAGTCCTCATATCCTGTTTCAGCTAAACATCCATAATATTTAATACCAAAGTTTTCTAATCCTCCATGTATATAATTTATTATCATTATCCTTTCTTTATTTAACTATATCCTATATCATAGCATTTTCCCCATTAGTTAAAATTTAACTGTATATAGTTTTGTTTTTTATGATAATTATTATTGTTATTAATAATATTTATAGATAGTCCAAAAATATTTCTAACCTTCCCTTCTCATATCCAATTATTACTTATCATAACAACTCAACATTGTATACATTACTATCATTATCAATTTTTATTTAACTATACCTATTACCAATGGATTTAACTAAGTTTAGCTAATTTTGAATTATACTCTTCCATCTATCAACCTGTATCTCTCCAAAAACAGAACTGTTATTGGAGAGATGCTGCAAATAGCTATTTTGATAAAGAAACACTATATACTCATCAGTGTGACGAAATCCTCCTTATTACTATGGTGCTGAATAAAATCCCTTCCTAATATAAATTGCAGCCATGCCATTGTAGGATTACAAGTGGGGATGATTCAGAAGTTAACATTTCCAAAAGAAATGCTAATAGTTTATCTTGTTTTTGTTTGACATTATGGCTACATGGCTAACCAGGGAAGTATGCATTGAATTCACAATTCACATATCTGAATTGTGCTGAATTAGGGAAAGTTAGACGGTCACACACACATATTTTGCTGGAGGACCACAAAACCAAACAGGTGGCCCTCGACTTACAACAGTTAACCTAGTGACTGTTTGAAGTTGCAACGGTATTGGAAAAAGTGACTTATGTCCATTTTTCACACTTATGACCATTATAGCATGCCCTACATCATTTGCATTTCGATACTTGCCAACTGATCTACATTTATTATGCTTGCAGTGTCCCATTTTGCTACCTTCTGGCAAGCAAAGTCAACGGATAAGCCAGATTCACTTAACAACCGTGGCACTACTTTAACAAGTACAGTGATTCACTTAACAACATCATAAAATGGGGGCACAATTCACTCAATACATGTTTTGCTTAGCAGCAGAAATTTTGGGCTCAATTGTGCTTGTACATCAAGGACTATCTGTATTACATAACCAAGATACATTTCACTAGACACAATAAATAAAATTTATACACTGATAGTAATGGACTTACTGATTTCTGCTGCTATTACACTAAGGTTGTGCCACTGTGATATTTCTCGGTCAAGCATCTTAGAAGTATAGATAGATCCATTTCCTGAATGTATGTTGAAAATTCTATCAAGATCAGTGTGGCGATCCAAGGAAAACCTAACGATTGGTAGGAAGAAAAAGAACTTTATGTTGAGATGTACATTTATACCACATATAATCTTATATTCTAATTGCGAGTAGTGACATAGTTGTCAGCAGCTTCTAAAAAGCATTAAAATGAGCAAGAGATAGATAGTATTGAGATGCAAGTCTCACACCCTTTATATGAGTGTCAACAATGCATACATATTCAATATGCTTGCATCATGGCAAAATGTTGCCCATCTTGATGATTTCAACACCTGCCCCCTTCCCAGACCCCACCATATGTTGCCTTCTTTCAAATGCTGAGCTCTTAAGAAAGCAACAGTTCATGAAGTTGTTTAACTCAAGATGCAATAATTACAACAGCGACAATATTACAGTTGGTGACAATAAAAATTAATCAGAGATAACTGGCATTTCTAGACTTAAACATATTTAGAACTGACAGTTCGGTCAATCAGACTGAATAGGAAGATGCTTGTATCCATTCTAATATGCATAAAGCTTAAGCTGCAATGGTTAGAACTAGATGTGACAGCAAGGATATGTTTGCACCACACCAAAAATCTTCCTGATGTTCAGCTCATAATGAGGGGCATTCAGTAGACGGTCACAATACTATGGATTTTCTATTGCTCTGTTTCGTAGACAGTATTGTCAAAGGAGTTCAGAGCTGGAGGCATGAAAGCATCTGTGATGCTGGCAAATGGAGCAAAACTTAAAAGTTGATTCTGGATGACCTGAAATGCTATAGTTCATATGTGCCATTTCTACTGAGAACTTTCTCTTTTATACATTTCTTTAATACATTTCCAGTAACACATAGAGAATATTCATATCAGCAACATCATGCAGGCAGTCTTTTCAATGCCTCTTAACTGTGAAACACAAGGTAGCAATGAGGTATATCAGCATAAAAGGTAATTACTGCATGATTTGCTAATGTTGAATACATACATGGGGCTAACCTAAATATATATAATCATTGTTCCAGAGAGCTTATATTTAATCTCTCCTTTTCATAAGAACAGTTTTGTTGCATCAAGTGCTGTTCTATTCCACTAAAAAGACAGTTTTGGCAGGAAGCATAATAATCATTTATTGTAATTTAATTGGCAAATAGCAACTTTTGCTCCCCTCTGAAAAATACAGTAATTTACCTTTATTAGCCTTATTACCTCTGTTGGTTAAAAAAAAAATATAATAATTAGAAAGCTCTAATGAAACTCTATGGTTCCTTCACTGAAACACACCTTTTATCACTGCAAATTGCCTAAAATGCTTAGACGGCTTTGCCTTTCAGAATGATCACTATTTCTATTCATTCTTTACCTACAGAGCATTTTGTAAAAGTTTAAATCTTACCATAGTTCTAAGAATCTGTTCTGAGATTACACAGAAAAATGCACTGGAACTGACACTAATGTTTTGAGATATTTCCTGACAAAATAATTTTTTTTAAATCTCTGGAAATTTTGAAGTATGCAGAAATATCTAAACATATCGTTCTTAAACTACATTGCTTATTTTTTATTTAAACTTCCTTTTTTTTAAGATCTAACAAACTAGATGGACAGTTATTTTGCCCATCTCCAGTAATGGTTGACATAATCTTTAGATTATGAAAGAATATCCTCATGGGGATTGGGAACATTTATATGAGGGACTTCCAAATTAACAAAAAAAAATATTATGCTAACATGGATTTATGAGTAGTGCTTGACTTCGTATTTTAGCAATAGCAATAGCAGTTAGACATATACAGCTTCATAGGGCTTTCAGCCCTCTCTAAGCGGTTTACAGAGTCAGCATAT